CTGCCTTGGAGAGCCCCCCCCATACCCAGATGGCACAACTAGTCCTGCCCCCAGTGCCTGCCCTGCACTGCCTCCCAGCCACCAGCTAAGCACTACTGCTGGGGTCAACGCTACTCTAAAGCTGCCATGCCAGACTCTGCGCAGCCCTCCTGTTGGGCAGCAAAAAGCGCTCTTCCATGTCTGGGAGGAGACCCTGTCTCTGCCCGGTGCTGGTTGGCTGACAGGCGGGGCAGAACATGCCTCTCCCAACAGCTGCGGCGGGAGCCTGAGGTCCGTGGCCCAGCAGCAGGTGTCTGACCAGCGGTTGGGAACTGCTGCTTTAGCAGTCGGATAACCTAGATTCCTCAGGAGAGAGGGTAGAATTGAAGTCCTTCAATGAGTGGCCAGTGTTCTAGGCAGGAGAAGGCACTGCCTTCCCAAACTGCCAGCTTGGCCCTGCCCACACTCCACCCCCAAAATGCCTGCCCCCAGAATCCCCACCCTTCCTGGTGCTCCTTACTGGGGAGGTTGGAGCTGTGTGCCCACTCTGGGGCGGAGGAGGCAGGAGCTGGGCACCCTCCTTGGAGTTCTCGGGCTCCCTGTGGTGGTGGTGGTGGGGTCAGGGAGGCAGCTTGCCTCTTGTGGGGGATGGGGCCTCAGTGGAAGGGGTGGCGCTAGGTCTCAAGCCTATTTGGAAGTTGAGAAAACCAGAGGACCATAAGAACAGTGTCAGGGGTAGTTGTGTTAGTCTGAATCTGCAAGAACAATGAGAAGTCCTATGGCACCTTATAGACTAACAGATTTATTGGAGCATAAGCTTTCGTGGGCAAAGACCCACTTTGTCAGATGCATCTGACGAAATGGATCTTAGCCCATGAAAGCTTATGCTCCAATAAATCTGTTAGTCTATAAGGTGCCAGAAGAACAGTGTTCAAAATAGCAGAATAGTAATAGAGTGGGAGCTGTGTTGGTCTGATCTTGCTAAAACAAAAGGAAAAACTATGTAGCACGTTAAAGACTAACAAGATGGTTTAATAGGTGATGAGCTTTCGTGGGCCAGATCCACTTCTGGGTCTGGCCCACAAAAGCTCATCACCTATTAACCCATCTTGTTAGTCTTTAAAGTGCTACAGTTTTTCCTTTTGTTTTAGCAAAATAGCAGAATTACCGATGAGGCATCTACTATAGTTAAGATATTTTAGTCACTACTGCAAACAGAAAACTTTTACTTCCAGAAACATTATTGCTGATGTGTGACTTAATCAGATTAAAGTAGTAGTCATTTCCATTCCGTTAAGACACTTTGCTGATTTTTGGAAAATATTTTGTGCTTGAAGTAAATGGTGGCAGGAGTATGGATAGTTCAAATCAAATAGGTAATGTCATATGATTTACTATTCTTAATGTCTAAAATCCTATGATGCGTCACTAATGTAAGATGTCATTTTTCCGCTGTCTGCATATGGGCAGCATAGCAGAACTGAAACATTAATGGAATTTTGAGTAAATTCTGATTGGGCTTTGTGTTCTTATACTTTTTTTTTAACTGTGCAACCTGATTTGCATTCCTATGAAAGCATATGATTGTAGGAGACCGGAAATTATGTACATGCCAAACTTTTGGGAAATGTGCTTTAAGATTTTGGGTTTTAAATACCTTGTTTTCTCAGTCTTGTGTTTGTAGAAGAATAAATTCAGGTTTCAGATTTTTTACATTAGTTGTAACTGTGACAATATATGGATGTAACCGACTCAGCTTAAGGCAGATAAATGCTCGTAGTTTTAATGGGTTAAAATAGAAGTCTGTATATTAAATTTGAGATTTGCCTTATCCAAGGAAATGTATTTTCCAGATATTAATGTACTTTGTTTTTAATAGTGTTTCAATAATTTTTCGGAAAAAAGGAAAGTATTTTAATAAAATTTGAGATTTTTTTCACTTGAGGGTTTTAGCGCGCGCGCGTGTGTGTGTGTGTGTGTGTCTTAATAAAAGATTTATTTTCAGCACATAGATGTACTGTACCCAAAAGTTCTGATGCAAACATTGTATTCATCAGGATTATATTACAATACTTTTTGCTCTGAATCTGTGCAGCGAAGATTCACTTTATTTGCACTAATAAACAGCAATGCCCCATTTCTGTAGAACTAGGAGATGTAGACTCGTAAATAAGATTGTTGTTGGGGTGCATTTTTTATAATTGATGTGCTTTTTAAGTTTTACTCTTTTGTTGACCATTTTTATCATAAAATTTTCAGATAGGGATATTTTGGGGGAATTGGATTATGCTTTTTCAACAGAGAGGTTTAGTAGATAACGCTAGGGCCAACCTAAAAAGTCGTGGTTTAAGTTAAAATTATGGTGTGCTACAATTCAAGTACTGAATTAAGCATGATACTTTACAGACCATGTCCTGTGAAGCAGGCAGTATAATCAGTAGGTCACTGGAGGCTTTGATAGCAGAGAATTTCATATTATTAATACAATGGACTAAATTCTGTAATGGTGTAAATCTCCTGAGTTATGCCAGTTCAGTCTGTTCCTGGCATATTGGACCCAATTCTCATGGATAGACTTGTATATACAAATCTTTTATCTACATTAGGAGATGATGCTTTCCACCAAATTAGTGCTCCATTTACACATTCCAAAGCTATTCAAATGGTATGAAATATAGTTCTTGTGTAGTAATGAGGATATTGTTTGAAAGCTTGCTTGATGTAAACAGAATGGTCCACTCAAAAACAAAACAACTCACAACCCACCAACTTTATAGGGTTACATACTAAACCATATAGGAAGCTTTCAGACAAGTTTTGCATGGTTAAGTGGACGAAAATATGGAGACGTCTATAGTGTTGTCAAAAGCCATCAACATCAGTAGTTGCTCTGTGACAGAAAGTGGTAAAAACTAGATGAAAAGAGATGCTGAAGAAACAAATGACAATAGGCAAGTTGAGCTCACTTAATTCAAACAGGAACTAAAGAAGAATAGTCTTATGATAATGCTCATAGTATATCTAGTTTAATCACTAAAAGGATCTATGTCCCTAGTGAAGGAATGCTGTGTAGTAGTTAAAGAACAAGACTGACTGTCATGAATTCTGGTTCTTATTCTTCTTTGCCACAGATGTGATGTGACTTTGGGGAAAAAAAACCTCTATGTGCTTCCATTTTCCTCATCTGTAAAATGGGGATAATTATACTTGCCAATGTCACAAATAAATGCTACTGTATGTAAAGGGCTTTCACATCCTTGGAAGGGAAGCTACTATAGAGGCTTAAAGTATTATTATAATAATTGTTGTATCTTCTCCAGTAATATATATCTACTGACATACACATTAGTAAATGAGATGCAGTTCTGTAGATAGAGGCTGATCATCCATTCTGTTGCTTGTATAAAGTTATCTTGATACAATCGCTACTGAACCGTGCTTGATGACACTTGAATTGAATTGAATTTTCATCCTATGAAACGATAGCTTTATCAATGTTTGCTTCCCAATGTTAATTTGGGGTATTGTATGCATGTTAATACATTCATATCATCACACTGCTTTCTGATTTTACTCTTAGATAAATATTTTACATTGCTAATAAATAGGGATGTGACCGTGCAGCTGACTATATTAACCAATAAGCTTATCAGTTAATTGTATTGACTATACACACTCTTCCCCCACCCCTCCCTTGCTGCTTATGTATCAGAGGCAGCAAGGGCGGGGAGCAGGAGCCAGTGCAGTGCAGAGCCAGTTTTTAGGCTGGCTCCCCACAAGCACCAGATCCACAGAGTCACCTGCCCCCAACCCACCCCAGTGCTGCTGCCTCTATTAGAGAGGTAGCAGTGTGGAGGGTGGGCAGGGCAGGCAGGGGCCCACAGCCGTGGGGAGCCCAGTATCCATTGGGAACCGGCTTTTAAGCAGGCTCTCCTTGCACACTGGCTCAGTAGTGCCTCCTGGCCCTTCCCCTTCCCCCGCCCCTCCGCTGCTGTCTCTATCAGAGGCAGCAGTAGGGGGCAGGGCAAGGGAGGCTGCTGCAGCGCAGCATCTGTCTGCAGTGGACCCAAGCTCACTGTGGACAGAGGCTGCTCCGTAGTATCCATTGGGAACCGGCTTTTAAGCAGGCTCTCCTTGCACACTGGCTCAGTAGTGCCTCCTGGCCCTTCCCCTTCCCCCGCCCCTCCGCTGCTGTCTCTATCAGAGGCAGCAGTAGGGGGCAGGGCAAGGGAGGCTGCTGCAGCGCAGCATCTGTCTGCAGTGGACCCAAGCTCACTGTGGACAGAGGCTGCTCCGTGGGATCCCAGCACAGATCCTGCCCACAGGGAACTCAGCCCCCATGGACAGGGGCTGGTGCTACCCCATGCTGCTGCCCTCTGATACAGAGGCAGCAGCATGGGGTGGCTGGGGGCTCCCAGGAGTGGGGTCAGGGGCACACTGGCTACTGGCCTTACCCCTGGGGACTACTGAATAATCATGTAACTGATAATATTTTGTTTGGTTATATGACTATTCAATTAATCACTGTCTAACATCCCTACTAGTAAACAGGAAGTATGTGTTTCCTGTGTAAAACCCTATTGGGTGATGCACAACTCTGGTAGTAGTGTTCTGCTCCTCAGCTTATTTCCCATATTATTTAATGGCACATCATATACATGTTGAATATGTTCCATGATGTGGAGGTGTCTGAGTTTATGGACTTCCCAACAGACGTTTTTATGGTTTATCTCTATCCACAAATACTAAAGTTTCATTTTTGACCTTCCAATACTCTATTTCAGACTTGTTCGGCCTGTACCACACAGGAACAGAAATTCAAGACCTCCCAGCTGTTCAATCTTTTGTTTTGCACTGTACCAGCCTGCGTATTATTGTCAGGGTCTATAGAACTATGAAACAAAGGAACTCTGATGTTTACTGTGGCTCAAGATTGAGACAGTTATTTTAAATTAGTTAATAGCTGGAGAAGCGAACTATGATGGTTTGCAACATGTTCTTTTCTGTTTTCTTCTTTCTAGATCCCTCAGATGAGTCGTCCAGATCTGATTCTCTTTCTGATGAAGTATCTTATGGCTCTAGTAGTTGGGATCCCTTCTGTCTTTTGGGTTGGAAGTAAAAAAACCTGCTTTGAATGGGCCAGCTTTTTTCATGGACGCAGGAAAAAAGAGTGAGTGCTGTTGTGTGAAAGATTTATTGGTGTAATACTGGCAAATAAACCTTTTCTCTCCTGTAATCCTGAGAGAGCGCTTTGAGCTAATCCAGTCCAAACAGTTCCTTCTTGGAAAGGGGGTTGGGAGCAGAGGTAGCTTGCCTAGAAATGCTGCATTGTGCAGTGTACGTTAAAAGCAAACAAAAAATTCCCTGTCATGTATTTTTCCAGATTGTTTTCTTGGTAATAGAACCAAATGAACATGCTTCATCTGTTATCAAGCTATTCTGCTTCATTGTTCTTAAAGGAAATGGGATATACCATGATACCGCACACTTTTGACACTTTTTGAGGTGTGGAGTAGTATAGCTTTCTTCTCTAAGTACCGTCTCCTCAGCTAGACAGCTGATCCTGATTGGTCAGCATCTGTGTGCACTTCTTAATCCTTCTGTTGTACATTGAAGCCCCTATGAAACTGCAGTTTAATCAAATTAATTATAGTGAAATTTTTAAGTGACTTCTGTTTGGACTGACAAAGCCACTGCTTAACGCAATAGTAGTCTTCTACTTAAAATGGAGGAAAATTGCACTCAATATAGTTGGGGCAGATTTTAAGGCAAAAAGTAACTTAATAAAGGTGGTCACATGTATAAGATTCACAGCAACTTATTATAAATAATATATCTTTTATCTACCCACGTATACATCCATTGAACTGAGGCAACATTTCCTAAGTTAGACATTGCTGGAGGAGACAGACTAGTCTGGGTTGAGTAAGAAGTAGTGCAGATGATCCATGCATTGGAGCTAAGAGAGCTGCAGGAGAGAGCTCACTTGCTCTATCGTAAACATTTTCCTTCAGTTAAAGTAGTGGGTGGTTCCTTAGAGCTTCTGGGCTTGTTGCCATGTTCCTGTGGTAGCCCTAACTGCTGCAGGGCAGTACACACCAGACTCCTGGCTCAAGCTGCTCTCTTCTGTTAGATCAACAATGAGAGACAACACTGTCAATGGACAGCCCCACATCAAGTAGACTGTAGCATTTTGACGAGTGGGAGAATGAGAAAGAGGGGACCATCGGGTGACAGGAGAGACCCTAGGGGAAGAGCAACAAAAACAAGAGTTTAAGCAAAGTTTTTTTTTTTCGTTGTACAAAATGACTAAAAAGCAATCAAATGGATAGAAAAATCACTGGCAACTCTGCCAGAGCATTGCAAAAGAGAACACTATAAAAGTGTACCAGTTCACAGCGTTCACCAATCCAACATGGGGGGGTTCCAAAAAACAAGACTGAGACCACACTCATTGAGCTCAGGGCTAAAAGCAAAGACAGATTCATGTGCAAGACTGTATATTTTGTACTTGATCAAAATGTGCTGCTCTTACATACTTAAAAAATTGAATTATAAATGTATCATTTTAGCATATAAGAATGGCTTTGCTGGGTCAGACCAAAGGTCCATTTAGCCCAGTATCCTGTCTTCTAACAGTGGCCAATCCTAGATGCCCCAGAGGGAATGAACAGAACAGGTCATCATTGTGTGATCCATCCCCTGTTGCCCATTCACAACATCTGGCAAGTAGAAGCTAGGACACCATCGTGGCTAACAGTCATTGATGGAACTATCTTCCATGAACTTATTTCTTGTTTTGAACCACATTATGGTCTTGGCCTTCACAACATCCTTGGTCATGGAGTCCCACAGGTTGACTGTGTGTTGTAGGAAAAAATACTTCCTTTTGTTTGTTTTAAACCTGTTGTCTGTTCATTTCATTTTGTGACTCCTAATTCTTGTGATATGAGAGGGAGCAAATAACACTTCCTTATTTACTTTCTCCAACCGGACCTCTATCATATCCCCCTCTAGTCATCTCTTGTCCATGCTGAAAAGCCCTAATTTTATTTGTATCTCCTCATATGGCAGCTGTTCCATACCCCTAATGATTTTTGTTGCCCTTTTCTGAAACTTTTCTAATTCCAGTGTATCTTTTTTGAGATGGGGCAACCACATCTGGGAAGGGGAGAGACCTTTCCTATTTACATAGATGATTTATTCTGCAGGCATCTGAGTGTGTTGATCCCCTGCACTCAAGGATGTCCTTATGGCAATATCTCTGAAGAGGTAAGGCCATAAGAGAATTCCTGTTATAAAATAAAACTACAATTGCTTCTAGTTCTTGCATGATCCATAGGATTCATGAAGCTGCTGGTGTCATGTGAGGTAATGGCAAGTCTTTTATTTACATTGCAATTATGCCGCCATATGCCCTACATGCCTAGGCTAGAAAAGCAGTTACAATTACAGGGTGATTCTCTAAACATTGGCCAAGGTATTCAAATTGGGGTGCTTAAAATTAGACAACTCAATCCATATGTAGCCATCTAAATAAGTGGCCTGATTGTTCTGCCTCACTGCTCTTCAGGTAAATAAATCTGTATTAAATCTGTATGTTTCCTAATAGCACAGGCCAGTTTGGAAGAGCTGTCGTGATCACTTTGCTGTATTAATTACTCCAATCCTGTGTTTTGGCCAGAGCTGTCAATGAGAGTCGTCAGGTGCTGCAGGAGCCCGATTTTGCTCAGTCACTTCTGAGAGATCCTAATACCCCTATTATCCGAAAGTCAAGGGGAACCTCCACCCAGGGGACTTCCACTCATGCTTCATCTACTCATCTGGCTATGATGGATGACCAGAGGAGCAAAGCAGGCAGTGTCCACAGCAAAGTAAGCAGCTACCATGGCAGCCTGCATAGGTCCCGTGATGGCAGGTGAGTTCCATGCATAATTTAAAATTTGAATGTAAATGGCATTGGGGGAATCTTGGTCACAATCAGCACTTTTTCACTTGACTGCGTTTTGGCCACCATATGGTTATATTCTGAACCTCTGCTAATATTCACCTTCCCAAATTAGTGATTTGGTCCTGAAAGAACTTAACATCTAGGTTTGTGTCGCAGCATGTGCACGTCCCATCCCTTGAGGTGCAGGTATCCAGGGGTGTGGACGCTACCTGGTCAGCTGCCGGGTTATCAACAATCTCTAGCTGTCTGTACCAACAGCCCTCCGGCTAGGGCAGTACAGTCCAATGGCTAGAGTCAATAAGAGGTAGCTCTTGGTTCAGGGCAACACAGCCTAATGGCCAGAGTCAGTAAGGGGTGGCCCTCAGTTCAGGGCAGCACAGACCAACAACCAGAGTCAATATGGAGTAGCTACCCCAGTAGGGGGACTCGGGCCCACCCTACTCCACCAGGCCCTGACCTAGGGCCTGGTGATTGGCAGAGTGCTCCACCACTCACTCAGCAGGGAATCCAACCGCAACACACCAAGTTCACTCGGGTGGGAGATACCATCCTCCCTAGGTCACTTCCTACCAGAGTTGGTGTCAGGATGTTCCATGTGGTCTCTGGGTCCTCCAGGTCCCCTGCAGCCACCTCTCTTGGGCTTCTCCAGCGCTGGTAGCTCAAGGCGGTCTCCCAGGTCTCTGGCTCCTGTCATCTAGGTTTCTGGCTGGAGCATCTCTGGAGCTCCTGTTGGAGGTCCTTCTCCTCTGGTGGCCAGCCCAGAATGAGCTGAGCTACTTCCTTTTTATACGCCTCCAGCATTTGGAGCATTCCCAGTCCATGTGGAGGGGCAGTACTTCCTTTGCCTACAGGGCTTTAACCCCTCCTGATGCAGCACTGGGTATGCACACCCCGTCACAGTTGAAAAGAGGAAATGTGCCATGATTTCTTTCAGTAGTTATGAGTGTATCAATTAGCCAGAGTATGAATGCAGGCCAATAGCTCTCTTTCTCTGTGAGACCGAACGTGCCTTGTGTGTATGTATAGTATCTATTGCATGGGAAATGAAATCTGTTCCAAATTCAGAGTACTGTTAGAGTATGGCTGCTCTGTAAACTTATGTGAGTTTGGCTATCTGAAGAAGGTATCAGATTTTCAGCTAAATTCCTGCAGCTCTGCTGAAATTTTTTAAAAAATTGTAGCTTAGCTGAAGGGACCATTGGGTAGCCTATATTTACTCACCATGTTATTATTTACAGTGTTTGTATGATGCTATACTTAATATCTGTTTCCTCATTTTATAGATGGGAAACCATAGTAAGGTAAAGCAACTTGCCAGAGGTCACACACAAGTTCAGTGACAGAGCAAAATAGAATGCGTCCTACTTATTTCATAAAAACATAGTACTATATATAATCAAGAGCTATTTATTTACCAATATACTTAGACATATTCTCCCTCTCTTTCTTTTGCCTGAGGTAATAATGAACTTGGCTTTGTTTTTGTAAATTAGGTACACCCCCGGCAGCTACAGAGGCATAGAAGACAGACTACCTCATGGCAGCATGTCACGACTGACTGATCACTCCAGGCATAGTAGCTCACATCGGCTCAATGAACAGTCACGTCACAGCAGCGTCAGGGATCTTAGCAACAATCCAATGACCCACATCACCCATGGTACCAGCATGAATCGGGTTATTGAAGAGGATGGAACCAGTGCTTGACTTGCTTTCAAAACAAAGAAGCAGCTCCTGCGACAGTCATTTCTCAATGATGTGATAATACTCAGTGTTATCATGCTTCCCATTGGTGCTGATTTTTTTGTATCAGGAAGCTGAAGTTTGGCTTTACCGTTTTAAAGCCAGCTTTCTTGTGCTTACATCAGAGCCAGAATGCTCAGTGATCAGCAGTCTGGAAATCAACAAAAGTAAAATCTGGTGGTAGCTTTTCATTTTGAACCTATCAGTTGGTAGTTATTAATAATTTATTTGGCAACTTGTTCCCCATCATACTGCTGGATTTCTTATTAGAAGATTCCCAAATGCTTAGAATTTCAGTAATTCTTATCTTTGAAGAGTCATTGGTGAGATCATGTTAAGAGTTCCAATAGGTAGAAGGAAACTCTTGAATACTTGAAGGAGTTCTTCCACAAAACCCTTTTGTCTCTGATTAGATAATAAAGTGGTACTTGTCATCAAGCACAGAGGGAGGGCTGCATATTAAATACTGCACAAAGGACATCTGTGAAAAATCAGCAGGCATTTTTAAACAATTATGCTGAAAATACAACAAAAGAAGGAGCATTCTGTAGGAAGAATGGAAACTCCACTGAAGATTGTCAGTTCTTACAGATTTATTCAGGCTCAATAGTGGGGGTGTGGAGACAAGGAAGGCATGATTTTTTTTAACAAAATTGGTATTATCCTTGCTTTTCTACAAAGTACTATTTACATTTTCTACTTGTTCACAATTTTTTTCTGTGGGAGACGTAGAAAATTCAGTTTGTAGTCAGTTACCTAGATAATATTCAGTTACCCATTTTTAAATTAACATAGAAAAACTGTGAGATTCCCTGTTCATGACCTCTCAAACATACACTGGGGAACACAATGGGAATGGGTGAAGGGACGAATCACCTGATGATTACCTGTTCTGTTTATTCCCTCTGGGGTCTCCTGACATTGGTCACTGTTGGCAGACAGGATACTGGGCTAGATGGACCTTTGGTCTGATCCAGTCTGGCTGTTCTTATGGGAAACCTGGATTTTCCATTTAAACTAGAATGTTCGGCCTTTCTCCTTATGGACCTATAGGAACAAATTCTGACCCCAACCCCTACAGGGTGGATGAAATGGATTCAGGGAGTTATGTGGGGACCCATCAGGAGACCACCAAACTTTGCTTTGTGAGGGCTCCCTCTATACTGAATATGTTGTAGTGTGGGAGATTTAGAGGTAGTTGGAAGATACTGAGGAAGGAATGGAACAGTGGATCCATAAGTACATAGATCAATGAGCCAGACCACACTGTAGCTGTGAGAAGGAGGTGAAAGGGCAGTGATGGTCAGGAATTTGCTGCCGTGCGGCAGTCTTGATGGTGAGGTAGGTTTCTACTTTCCCTGTCATTAGGCTGCCAGCCCAGTTAGGTGAGGTGTGCACTGGAGAGAGTATTTGGCCTATATTATGGATATCTTCTATCCAACTCACCACTGTCATCTGGAACAGAAAACTCTCAGATATTTGTAGAAACAAGAATAATTTTGCTCCCATTTTACCTTTAGGGCACATCATGTCTTTGTGGACATTGCAGGCAAAGTTAAGTCATGTTATAGATGGAAGAGTAGATCTGAAGCAGCTAAGTATCATTTACCATGAGGAAGCACTGGTTACTTTTGAACCTACCTCAGTCATTACAGTAGAATACGGCTGGGAAATGTATACTTTTTCGTTGACCTAATAATGAGTCCCTTTTTTACCTGTTTGAGGCACAACCTCAGGGGCAAAATAAGGGCAAAAACCTAAACTTCGGAGGCTTTTTGGAGCAACAAGACTTAGGCTGTGAAACCATTATTCATTTTAATTGTGCCCCAATAACATGACAGCAAATCACTTAGCCATGTTAGTCTATAAAATCAAAGTTTGCTCTGGGAGTCATGCCTTTAAAAATCTGTTTATTATAAATTGCTTTTCCCAGCCTGACCAGGCTTTTGCTCCAAAAGAGAGGCATAAACCAAAACTCAGTACTCCCTTGTCTATGTAAATCCCATTAACAGTGATAAAAGTTATTGTGCAAACATGCCTTGAGGGCAGAATAGACCTTATAATTTCTGTTGGATTGGCTGTATGTATATCTAACTGCCACAGTCATGTATAATGTTAAGTCTCTGAATATTCTATATCTATTTTAAAGCAGATGGATATGAGGTATTTGAGTGGCTTTTAAGTTGACAGACTTACAATTCCGTATTGCCAACAATGGTGAAACATGTTCTTGTTTTAAAATTTAGCTCAAACTGAGCAACTTCTTGTTTTTGCAGAGAGATGCTATTTTGTAGGAATTTGGATTTACAAAGGGAGTTAGTTATCAAGATAAAGTTTTTAGTTTGATCCTTTTTGCTATGTTTGCAATAGTATTCCAATATTGACAACCGTTTTGCATTATACTGTGATTTTACTAACTGGGAAGAGGGGGGTTTGGAATGGTTGAGGCTAGAGCCATAGTTTTTGTTTTTAGTTTTTGTTTTAAATCTCTGTTAATTTGGTGGCGGGGGTAGAGGTAATCCACTTTGTGGTTCCAGAAGTGAGAGTTTAAACTTTCTCACTCACCTATTCTGTACATGGAACTCACAGCCTAAGTAGTGATTCAAATGTAACATGCTCATACCCATTGCTGATTTTCCCCACCACCACGCTGATGTAGTCTCAACCCCATATTTTATTAACTTAAAAATGGAACTAATGTAATACCTTGCATTTCTAAAGCACCTGCCTTCTTACAATTTCAGATTCTTTAAAAAACAATGAAGTAGGCATCACAGTAATTGTGTAAAGTTAGTATTAGAATTCTCCCCATTTTACAGTTGGGATTAGTGAGGCTCAGAGGGTTTGTCACCTAAGATTACAAGGAAGGCTGTAGCACTGCTGAAAATAAAATCAAGATCTCCTGATTCCTAGGTCTAGGCCTTAGTCACAAGGCTATCTATATTTGTATTGCTTGAATCTAAGCATTATGTCCTCAAGGAGTGAACATCTAGGATTCTTCTCCTGCATGCTGCCCCAGCATGTTTTCTTCGGCAACCTCCTGCTGGCATAATTCTGTGTTCTGTGCAGGGCCAGTTCTCCCGCATTCACAGAATAGATGATTGCTATTGATATTGAGATGTTCAGTAATCACTTGAGTTCCATCTCTGACTCCAGGCTGCCAAAGACAGGCATTTGCCAGTTTGCCTAAGGCAGTGACGGGCACCTGTGGCCCATGGACCGCATGCAGCCCATCAGGGTAAGCTGATGGCAGGCCATGAGAGATTTTGCCGATGTTGACTGTCCACAGGCACAGTCCCTCATAGCTCCCAATGGCCGTGGTTCACCATTTCTGGCCAATGGGAGCTGAGGGACCGCAGGATGCCCACCACTGGTCTAATAGCATCCCTAGAGCTGGCAGTGTTCTTCATTTCTTATTGCCTTGGCTACTATGGCTTTAGCGTGCTTCACCACAGCTTCTGTGGCTGTAATGAAGCTGGAGTAATGCTGTCACATGTTCAAGTCTGTCTGAGAATGCAATGTCTCAAGTGTTTGAGGTTAGGAAAATATTTTGGAAAATGTCAAGGAAAAAAGTTGCAAATTGGTTGTAAAGCAACTTGCCTGCTCTCAAATGTTGTAAATAGGTATTTTCTTAGTTTTTGGTCTTTTAAATGTAAGTTTTGCTACAGAGGCTTTAGTTGTTAGCTGTATAAAGTGTATATTTGAAAAATGGATGATCAGAGATTGATTACGGGATACTGTTTGTTACTTATAGGCTACTGGTTTAGAAGTATCTCAGGTTAGCAGTAATGTAAGGTCTGCTGTTGAAATCACTCTAGTGGTCTCAGTCCAGTTGCTAATGGGCAGGCATTCACGTCCTAACCCTACGCCGCAATTTGGCACCCTGCCATTTTTAACAGAGAGGCTGAAGATAACATGGGTATAGAGACTGAATTACACAAAGATGAAGGATGGGAAAAGCTTGTACTGTACTGCATTGTACTATTCTAGAGACTGATTAGAAGATTTAAGTTTCTACTACTATCAGTTTTGGTAGTAAATTTCTTTAAGGTCCGAGCCACGTTACTCACTCTCTCTTATTTATTTCAACTGGAAGAGCCATCTAAGAAGGCCTTGTAGGCTGCACCATTAAAACAGGAAGAACATGGTTGGCAAATCATACACAGATGGGTCATTGCTACCAGAGATCCAACTTGAGCTGTGGAATCTTTAAATTGGTTTCAGGTAAAACTTTTGTGCTGACGTACCCAGGGCTGACGAGAGACTTTGCTGGGCCCTGGAGGGGAGCAGGCTCCAGGCCCACAGAAGGGGCAGGACTGGGGGCTCCAGCAAACCCTTCAGTATCACCAGGCCCACAGGGCATATGCCAGCGGAAACCCCAGTAGCCATTTAAAGGGCCCTGCTGCTGCTGGGATAATGGTGATGGCAGCCAGGAGTCTCAATCGCTAGGCCTCAGGGCAGCTGCCTCCTTTGTCTCCCTGCCGTACCCCCCATCGGCGGCCCAGGATGTACCTCTCTTATGACTGTGTTACATCGACTGCTTATGAACAGTGACTCTGAGATGGGATATCTTAGAAGTTGTCAGGTATAATGAACAGTCGTAGATTCTCTTGCTGAAGACCAGTGCATTGAACAGCCTTCTCATCTCTTCAGCCGTTTCTGTTGAAATGTGCATGTACGTATTGTAACATCCGTTTCTGAATGAGGGGGAAAGCGTTAGTGTTTGTGAGATTGGTGTGTAGTGAGTGCACTTTGTTATTAGCATGATACTGTACTGAGCATTCGCTGGTTTTACTTACTCAGTTCTTGGTAGGCTTGTTTACAGTAGGCCAGTGTCCGTTTTGTAACATTTGATTTTTAGCACTTTAACGGTGAGTGTACAAATGGATTACCATACAGTAGATGTACATTTTGATTTTAGACCTTTTAAAATTTGTAATAAAATGACAGAAAACTAGTTGTAGATGGCTTCTTTTAACAGGCGTTGAGTTTATTTTTTCAACTGGTATGTATATGTATAGTTATTTAAAAACACATTTCAGACCCAGCTGTTGCTTGCAGCATTTCCATACTGCTTGTTATCACAGCTAGCAGTAGCCTGTTGTAAAAGAACTAAACTCTAAATCAGGGCTGGACAAGATGCAGCCCGGGGACTGGATCCGGCCCACCTAATGCTTGGATGCAGCCCGTGGACTGCATCTGGTGATTTTCTATTTCTGTCCTGCTGCCAGGGCCACCAAATTTCCAGGCAGTGGCTCAGTCAGCAGGATCCTCTTTAAATGGCTCCCAGTGGTGGTGCTACCTGGACAGAGGCCGGATCCACAAACCTTTACAATAATCGCAGCAACCCCAGGTGGGCTGCCAGGCAATGTGGTAACAGTGGGCCCGGGAGCCACTAGCTGCAAGCCCTTTAAATTGCTGCTATTTAAGGGCTCACAGCTCCCGACCACACCACTACCAGGGTTGATGTGGCTATTTAAAGGGCCCCCGGTTGCAGCACTCCCCTGGCAGGGGCCGGAGCTGTGAGCCCTTTGCTGTGTTTTTACTTCAAAACCTCTGGTCCCAGGCAGCCCCTGGGGGAAACTAGTACCGAGCCCTGCCCCTTCTGCCCCAAGCCCCTCCCCTTCTGGGGGTAGAGCCAGCCCATGACCACATACCAAAATTCATTAAGTGGCCCCCCTGCAACAACAGTTGCCCACCTCTGCACTAGCCACATGTAGCTATTTGGCTGGTTGTGCAAGCCCACTAGCCACGCTCAATGTGACTATTTGGCCAGTTGAGTGTGGCTAGTTTGCTATAGTGACTTCAGTGACTACTGCTTCAGAACTGGTTGGACACCACGGCAATCGATGGCCTGTTGCAGTAAATCGGGCTCAGGGTTTGGTTGCGCCAAGACAACCGAAAGCCCTGGGAAAAAGGACAGCTTTCCATAATATGCAAAGGGAGGGGCTGCTATTCCGAGGGATGCACGGTGAGAGCGGCCACTCTGAGCCTGCAGAGGCGCTATCTTGCAGAGTGGCCGCTGGGGGCAGCCGTACCATCAAGGGAGTGTCCAGCAGGGCTGGGGCTTTGCCATCTTGCCTGCTAGCGTATCAGTAGGTAGCCCCCAAGGCAGGCTAGGGGGAGGAGAATAGGCTCCGGGGAGCTGGGGAGGGTGAGAACATATGCTCCTGGCCCCCAGCCTTCTGCCTCCCCCATACACATCCCCAAGGCCCTGCCCTGAAGGACCTGAATTGTGCTAGTGAGTTTAAAAAACAGCTGCTTCTCTCATCCATGTGCTGTTTGAATATTGTACCCATAAGAGTGCACCGGGGAACAGAAAATGACCTTTACCTCACTTGGGTTTTCTGAGAGTAACAACTACTTCTACAAGGGGCTTTAGGAGTAAATGCCGCCATCCCCCTACTAAGAAGAAAAATATTATCTCCCACTGCAGGATTCATAAATTCTCTTCATGTTAATTGTTAGTCCCCTGCATCCAACATCTCCCTGGGGAGCTCCCAGGGAGTCCATGAGAAATTCTAGGGAGGAGTCCATGAGGGAGAACAGTCTGAGCTTCAAGGATCCTTCTACTTGGTATGCCTTGTGCCCTCCACCATAGCACTTCTTCCCATACTAGCTGTAGCCTTACTAGAACAGCTGGAACATACAGCTATACCCCCGAAAGCCTGCTTTGTGTATTCTCTTTAAGACTAGATTGCCCTCCTCAACGAGACATCAAGCCACCTCAGAAGAGCCAGATGGGTCTTCTTTGAATAATGGTCCCTATTGTATTCCACACTGGTTTATATATGTACATCTTGTGCATGGAGCCAGAGATTCTTCAATAATAGTGTCCATTGGTTCACACATGCGCCCTTGGCTTGCCTCATGGTTTCATCCAAGGTGATATAGGGTGGGGCAGATGGACCACATCTCTAGTTCCTTCTCACTGCCTCATGGTCCAGGTCAGAACTTGTAGTGTCCTCTTTATGTGATGTGCTTTGAAAATATACGTACAAAAACTAGCAGGGGAACACTCTAACCTCCCTGAACACACACTTCTGGACTTCCATGTTGCCATTTTCAAGCAAAAAAACGTCATAAACAAACTGCTGACCTGGAATTTATATGAAAATTGGACACCTTGAAACAAGGTTTAAATCAACACATGGACTGGTCCTCACATCACAATAGGCAGTTTCCCATTCAGGTACTCTCACCTTCTCGTCCCTGTTGGAGATGAGCCTATCCATTCTGATTTAATTAGCACACGTGTCATTCCCATCTCTGCATCCCTTTTTGTGTCTCTCTCTTCTCTTCAGCATCTTGGGAAATGGGTTCTAGCTCATGACAGCTTATGCCCAAATACCCTCCTACATTTGTTAGACTTTAAAGTGCCACCAGCCTCTGTTTTGTTTTTGCTGACGCAGACTAACATGGCTACTTCTAAAAATATACAAATTGAGAAAATACCGAACATATAAAATGTCTGGTATTTTCTAATTGGGTAAGTTTTATTATTATAAGGTGTATCAGTCCGTAGCTGAGAACTGCCTTGGGGAGGGTATGGGTCCAGCCATGCTTCCGGCAGCTGGTTCTCCCATCCTCCTCCTCCCGATCTCCCTCAGCCAACAACCCCTCCCGCCCATTCCTGCCCCCCGTCCAGCCGTGCTTCTGCTGCCTGCTTGCCTGCCCCCCCTCTCCCCCTGGGATCTCCGCCGGACAGCCCCGCTGCCCCCAACCCTGCTTCCCGGCGGCCGGTTTCCCACACACACACCCCTCCTCCCAGCCTGTCCCGCTCTCATTCTGGCAGCCACGCTGAGGCCTGGTATTTTTTTCCTGCGGCCCGGTATCTGGCTGCATCCCATAGTTTGGGAAACGCTGAATTAGACAATTGCTTGTTAGTCCCCAAGGAATCTGTGGCCAAGCACTCGAAGAAAGAGGAATGGTGATTTACCCTGCAGTAGCTAACTGGTTCTTCAAGATGTGTTGTCCACACAATTTTCATGTCCTGTCCTTCCCCACCACTGCAAAGCCCTACTCCTAGGGAAATCAGGACTGGCAATGGAATTGAGATAGTATTGAGCCCTCTCTAGCCTTTGTACTTTCAGGTGAAGTGGAGGTGGGTGGGGAGAGGTCTGGTACATAACATGCAGGCATAGCCCAATAGATACTGCTGCTCAAAAGACGGATCTAAAAGAATCACAGTTTCTGTAAGGTAAGTGACCAGTCTTATCTGTTACTTGTTACTTTCCTCTTCATCTTCTATATAGTATATGATCTGTGGCTAAAACTGATCTTAATGCAATTTCGGTTTGTGCATATTTGCCAGCTGTTCCATATAGCCGCATCCCACGATCAAAGCCAGGACAGTCATGTTTTTATTCTCAAACACCCCTTCATTGTGGAATGCAGCCTTCACCTTCAGCTCATCGAAGAGAAACTGCTCTCTCCCCTCTCCCAGTTTTGCTCTGCAGTCCGCACTTTTGCACTCTGAGCTTTCTGCCTTTCCTTCACGCTCCCTAGTTATTGAATCTCATCTATCGCTTTTCTTAATACTATCTGGTGCATTTAAAAGCAGCCCCATATATCTGTGGACTTAAAAGTATCTCAGTGAAGTTGTCAGTTAGTTGGCCTGTACATCTGCGAGCATGGGAGCCTGGACAGATGGATAGAGTCAGACCTTGCAAAGGTAAAGAGATCATAATGGGCTCAGATAGAGGTTTTTAGACTGCCAAATGGGCTGACATGCTCCTCCAGACATACTATGACGTGATGGCTTACAAACAATCTACTTTTAACCTATAGAAAACCAGTTTTCTAGCAAGAACTGCTGCAGATCCATGTTCTTGTTAATAGGCATCTTGACAATATGATCTTTGAACCCATCTTCTGTCTCCCGTTGGGTGAGTGGAGATTCAAGGGCAAACTCAAGTTGTTTAGTTAACTTAGTCCTGTATTTCCAGCTGAGTGTTTGAGTTGGTGCGTTTCATTTTTGGTTTGTTTTTTCAAATGTTGTCTTCACTTTTAATTTCCAGGTATTCAGATTGTTGTGTTTTTGAAAAAATAAATGCTCTATTTTAAGAGTTTTCCCTTCAAGGTACTGCTTTGATCAGGAAAGTAATTCTATAAAAACGGTGCCTCTTTCTCAATAGCTGACCTTCAGAGTCCTGTGTATTGGCATAAATGTAAAAAGTAAACACGTAATACTTTTGGCTTGTATTGACTCTCCTGAGCCAACACAGCTGCAGAAGAGTGAGCTGGATTCTATCCTGTGTCATGCAGCAACAGTATTAAGTAGGTTCTGATTTCAGGCCTAAATTCTATCCCCAGTTACACCTGTATAGCCTGAATGAAGTGTTGTAAACGCATGTGATTTGTATTGCATGACTTGCAATAGCTGGCGTCATTCTTAAAGCTATGTTTGCTGGAGCTATGTGCTTACCTGAGAATCTCAGCTTTCATTAAAATAAAATTTAAAAAATTTAACTTTTATGGATGCAGAGAATCTTAGAAATCAGACCCTAGTGTCCAGTAAAAGCCCTACAAACCAAAACACAAATAGACCATAAAACAGGAGTGGGCAAACCACAGGTTGTAATAGAGCAGAGGTGGGCAATAACTGGATGCAGTTCACCAGAGTTCCCCTGGCGGGCCACCCAACACTTTATTTACATATGCATCCACAAATACAGCCATTCGCAGCTCCCATTGGCCACAGGTTGCTGTTCCCAGCCAATGGGAGCTGCAGGAAGCAGTGTACCAGTCTGCATTGCTTCCCACTGTTGCCATTGGCCAGGAATGGCAACCTGCAGCCAATGGGAGCTGTGACTATGCAGGTAAATGTAGCAGCAGCGGCCTGCCAGGGGCTAACCCTCATGAATTGCTGCCGTGTTATTGCCCACCCCTGCCATAAAACATATTCATATTTTTAAAATGTATTATAGAATCATAGAATCCTAGGACTGGAAGAGACCTCAGGAGGCATCGAGTCCAGTCTCCTGCCCAAAGCAGGACCAACCCAACTAAATCATCCCAGCCAGGGCTTTGTCAAGCCGGGACTTAAAAACCTCTAAGGATGGAGATTCCACCACTTCCCTAGGGAACCCATCCCAGTGCTTCACCACCCTCCTAGGGAAATAGTTGTCCCTAATATCCAACCTAGAGCTCCCCCACTGTAACTTGAGACCTTTGATCCTTTTTCTGCCATCTGTCACTACTGAGAACAGCCTCTCTCCATCTTCTTTGGAACCTCCCTTCAGGAAGTTGAAGGCTGCTATC